ATTACAGGATTAAGGAATAAAACAAATAAACTGAAAACATTCAGTTGCTAATCAAATTGTCAACTGATAGTGATGATTCTTGAATATTAGAGAGTCTAGGCAGAATAGACCATGGAAAACTGTTCTGAGGAGTCATTTATGGGGGAGAGAGCTAGGGTCATTGTGGTAGATGACCACCAACAATTCCTCCATCTTTCTACATGCTTGCTGCCAAAGGGTGGAGTCTGTTTCCCCTCCCTTGAATCTTGATGGGCTCTGTTACTTGCTTTGGTCAGTGGAATGAGGCAAAATGATGCTATTACAGTTCTGGGCCTAGACTTGGCAACTTTAGTTTTTGCTCTCTTGGAAAATAATCACCACGTAAAGAAGTCTGACTACCTTACTGAAAACAAAGGCCTAATGGAGGCAGTGTGCCTCTGGAGGATAAGAGACTAAGGAGGGACATAGGTCCAGCCAGCCCCTAGCTATTCCAGCCATTCCAACTGAGGCACTAGACATGTGATTGAAGCCATCTTGGATTCTCCAGCCCAAGTCAAGTTACTCCAATCAACACTACATGAAGGAGAGACAAGCTGCCACCACTGCATCCTGTCCATATTGCAGAATGGTAAGCAAGAAAATGGTTGTTGCTGTTTTAAACTGCTACATTTTTAAAAATGCTCATTTATTTAAAAATGAAATTAGGGGTATCTATTATGAACAATAGATAACAGAAATTGATGTCTGAAAGTTGGGTGCTGGCATAACAAAAATCTAAAACTTGTGGCACTGGCCTTGGGACAAGGCATTGGGTGGAGGTTGGAAAGGTGACGAGGGAACTCTCTCTCTCTCTCTCTTTTTTTTTGGTGAGGAAGATTGTCCCTGAGCTAACATCAATGCCATTTTTCCTCTATTTTGTATGTGGGATGCCTCCACAGCATGGCTTGATGAGCAATGTGTAAGTCCATGCCTGGGATCTGAACCCACAAACCCTGGGCCGCCAAAGCAGATTGTGCGAACTTAACCACCATGCCACCAGCCTGACCCCGGGAACTCTACCTCTTAAAAAAAAATTAATTTAGTTTTTAAAAATTTTATTTTGAAGTGATTTTAAACTTACAGAAAAGTTGCAAAAATGATACAGAGTTCATGTATATTCTTCATCCAGCTGCCCTAATGTAAATAAGTTACATAGCCATAGAATAATTATCAAAACCAGGAAATTAACATAAGGTGCAGACCTTATGTGAATTTTAACAGTTTTTCTAGTGATGTTCTTTTTCTCTTCCACGATCCAACCCAGGGTCCCATATTTACATTTAGTTGATAGCTCTCCTTAGTCCAGGGGGGAAACTCTTTTTAAAATTTTTATTGAGGTATAATTGACATATAAAATTATATTAGTTTCAGGTATACAATATAATGATTCAATTTTGTATACATTGTGAAATGATCACCATAATAAGTCTAGTAAATATCTGTCACTACACATAGTTACCAAATTTTTTTTTCTTGTGATGAGGATGTTTACGATCTACTCTTTTAGCAACTTTCAAATATGCAATACAATATTATTAACTATAGTCACCATGCTGTACATTACATCCCCATGACTTACTTATTTTATAGCTGAAAGTTTGTACCGTTTGAGTGCTTTCACCCATTTCACTCACCCCCGCACACCCCCACACCCCACCTCTGGCAACCACCAATCTGTTCTCTGCATCTATGAGCTTGGTTTATTGTTGTTTGTTTGTGTGTTTGATTTTTTAGATTCCACATATAAGTGAGATCATATGGTATTTGTCTTTTTCTGTATGACTTATTTCCCTTCCATGTTGTCACAAATGGCAAGATATCATTTTTTTAATATGGCTGAATAGTGTTCCATTGTATATATATATATATCACATCTTTATCCATTCATCCATTGATGGACACTTAGATTGTTTCCATGTCTTGGCTATTGTAAAGAATGTGGCAGTGAACATGAGGTGTGTGAGGTATCCTTTCAAAGTAGTGTTTTCATTTTCTTCAGACAACTACCCAGAAATGGAATTGCTGGATCATATGGTAGGTCTATTTTTAATTTTTTGAGGAACCTTCATACTATTTTCCACAGTGACTGCACCAATTTACCTTTCTGCCAACAGTACACAAGGGTTCCTTTTTCTCTGCATCCTTGTCAACACTTGTTATTTCTTATCTTTTTGATAATAGGCATTCTAAGAGGTGTGAGGTGATATCTCATTGTGGTTTTGATTTGCATTTCCCTGATGATTAATGATGTAAAGCATCTTTTCACGTGCGTGTTGGCCCTCTGGATGTCTTCTTTGGAAAAATATCAATTCAGATCCTCTGCCCATTTTTAAATGGAATGTTTAGTTTTTTGCCATTGAGTTGTATGAGTTCTTTATATATTTTGGATAGTAATGTCTTATCAGATATATAATTTTCAAATATTTTCTCCCGTTAAGTAGGTTGCCTTTTCATTTTGTTGATGGTTTCCTTTGCTGTAAAGAAGCTTTTTAGTTTGAGATAGCCCCACTTGTTCATTTTTGCTTTTGTTGCCTTTGCTTTTGGAGGTAGATTGAAAAAATCATCACCAAGACCTTTGTCAAGGAGCTTACCGCCTATGTTTTCTTCTAGGAGTTTTATCGTTTCAGGTCTTACATTCAAGTCTTTAATGTGTTTTGAGTTAATTTTTTGTGTACAGTGTAGGATAGTAATCTAGTTTCATTCTTTTTCATGTGGCTGTTCAGTTTTCCCAACACCATTTATTGAAGAGATTGTCCTTTCCCTGTTGTATATTCTTGCCTCCTTTGTTGTCTATTAATTGACCAAATAAGTGTGGGCTTATTTCTGGGCTCTCTATTCTGTTCCATTGATCTTTGTGTCTGTTTTTATGTCAATACCATGGTGTTTTGATCACTATGGCTTTGTAATGGAGTTTGAAATCAGGGAGCATGACGCCTCCAGCTTTGTTATTCTCTCTCAAGATTGCTTTGGCTATTTTGGGTCTTTTGTGGTTCCATACAAATTTTAGAATTGTGTGTTCTATTTCTGTAAAAAATGCCATTAGAATTTTGATAGGGATTACATGGAATTTGTAGATTGCTTTGGGTAGTATGGACATTTTAAGGATATTAATTCTTCCAGTCCATGGGCATGGAACATCTTTCCATTTATTTGTATCTTCTTCAGTTTCTATCATCAATGTCTTATAGTTTTCAGTGTACAGGTCTTTCACTTCCTTGGTTAAATTTATTCCTAGGTATTTTATTCTTTTTGATGCAATTGTAAATGGGATTGTTTTCCTAATTTACCTTTCTGATAGATCATTGTTAGTGTATACCAATGCAGCTGATTTTTTTAATATTAATTTTGTACCCTGCAACTTTACTGAATTTGCTTATTAGTTCTAATAGTTTTTTGGTGGTCTTTAGGATTTTCTTCATGTAATGTCGTATCATCTGCAAATAGTGACAGTTTTACTTCTTTTTTCCAATTTGGATGACTTTTATCTATTTTTATTGCCTAATTTCTCTGGCTGGGACTTCTAGTACTATGCTGAATAAAAGTGGCAAGAGTGGGCATCCTTTTCTTGTTCCTGATCTTAAAGGAAAAGCTTTCAGCTTTTCACTGTTGAGTATGATGTTAGCTGTGGGTTTTGTCATATGCCCTTTATTATGTTGAGGTACATTCCCTCTATACCCACTTTGTTGAGTGTTTTTATCATAAGTGGATGTTGAATTTTGTCAAATGCCTTTTCTGCATCTATTGAGATAATCATAGGATTTTTACCCTTCATTTTGTTAATGTGGTATGTCACATTGATTGATTTATGGATGTTGAACCATCCTTGCATCCCTCGAATAAATCCCACTTGCTCATGGTGTATGACCCTTTTAATGTATTGTTGAATTCAGTTTGCTCAGATTTTGTTGAGGAATCTTAAAGAGTAGTGAAGAAATTGCTACTGGAGGCTGGAGAAGTGGTTTTATGTAGTGGCAAAATGTTTGGCCACACTCGTATGCAGTAAAACATAGAAAATGTACCTAATTAACTTTTAGATCTGGGAAAGGAAGTTTTCAGGATGAATGTTCAAAGTGTCAATTGGCTTCTTTTAGTGACGTACTCTTGATGTATCACAAAAGAAAGATATATTAAAAAAGGAACTATTTAGTTTTCAAGCAGGATGTAGAGGAGACTTACAGGACCCAGGAGAATCTCTTTAGTCAGCCAGAGTCTTAAATTAAGAAATGGCTTCAGGGGCCTGCCTATAAAATGTAGCCTCAAGGTAAAGATCTAATCCAGACTCTGTGTTAAGACCTCTAAAAAATTTAACATATTGCCTCATAGACCCTCTCATCTAGACAAAAGGACATCTTAGAATCTTAAGGATGGTCTGACAGCAGCCACCACAACAAGGCCCAAAGTAGACAGGTTTGTTTTTGAAAGAGTTATAGATGTTGCTTTGTGGGAAGGAGTGAACTCCAATAAGAGTCATAGAAAACCCATAAAATTTTAAAGATAATTGTATTGATAAAACCACCACTAGCTTGGACTAAAGAAGGAGACAGTTCAAGACAAAAAAAAGCCTCTGGGCTCCCAACTTTCTATGAGCAGGAAGCGGGCTGAGAGACCTGTTCAACTGTAAAGGGGAGACAGTTTCTTATGCAAAAGAAAGATTGACTCAGATGTCAAAGCTGAACCTCAGAGTGGGGAGCCAAGAACAATGGCTTAGGAAACTACTCCAGGTGATGAACCAGGCCCTAATAGAGAACTAGACCCTCAGAGTCAAGGTGACAGTGCTTGGCTGGCGTTCAGAATTGCTATGGACTAGTGACTGCTCTGTGCCTTCCATTTTGCCCCTTTTTGAAGAGGAGTGTCTATTGCAGTTACCCTGTCCCTGTTTCAGCACTGTATGTTAGGTATGTAACTTGTTTTTTGAGTTCACAGATCTCCAGATGAAGAGAAGCAGCATCTGAAATGCTTCATACACATCTGTGCCTAGTGTATATTACTAAAACTTGGAATTTAGAGCCAATGCTGTACAGAATGACAATTTGGAGGGAGGAAGTAAGTGTATTTTGCATGTCTGTGTGTGGTTGTGAATGTGTATTATTGTGGCCAGAGGGTGGATTATGATAGAGTGTTTCCAAATATGACTGCCAAAAATTTCTCCCATCCCAGCCACTCCTTCCATTAACAAGTAGAGTCTCTTTCCTCTCCCTTTGGATCTGGGCTGGCCTTGTGACTTGCTTTGGCTAAGAAAATACAATGAAAATGATGTTCTGGAACTTCCAAACCCTGGCTTTAAGAGGGCTTGTAGCTTCTGCTTTCTTCCACTTGGGATCCAGTCACTGTGTAAAGAAGCTTGGGCTGGCCCAGTGAATGATGAGTGTTCACACGAAGAGAGGGAGGCCACAAGCAATTTCAGCTGCCCCAACTGAGGTGCCAGACATATGAATGAAGTCATCTTGGATATTCCAGCCCCAGCCAAACTCACAGCTGAATGCACCCACCCATATGTCTGAGCCCAGCTGACATCATGGGGGAGCGGAAGAACTGTCCAGCTGTGCCCTTCCCAGATTGCAGAATTGTGAGAAAATAAATGGTGGTTTTTCTTTTAAGCCGCTAAGTTTATGGTGGTTTGTTATGCAGCAGTAGATAATTGAAAGAGTTATCAAATGTTAGGATATTTTGTGTTGCTTTAACTACATGGGCTGTGAAGAAGTTGCAACAGGATCAGACAAAGAAGCCAAGTTTTCAACCAGACTAAATTCCATAAAGGCTGGACCCTATATACCGGAGTCATTACTCTGTCCACAGAGCATAGGACAGTACTGGCACATAACAGACTCCCAAATATTTGCTGATTTAATCATTAAATGAATGAATGGAGATAAGACCCCATACCATCAAGAAGACAGACAAAAAAAGATACTTTAAACAGAGTTTGTACCACGCATTCTCTCTTCCTAAAAGGTGCCCTTTGTTGTCAGAAAAAGTGATGCCTCAGAAGCCAGAAGGATGTTCTGAAGAGAAAGATTTGTAGGAATGAGGCAGTGGTCAACCTTGACTCCCTCTCAGTGTCCTTCCTATACCTAGACAAATGAGGGCTACTCTGTGAAGCACCTGTTAATGCCCCAGGACCTCCTGGTATATAAAAAGTATTACCTTTTTCTATTGTTGGAAGAGCTAAAAAGCAAAATATATGTTCCATAGGGCTAGAGTTAAAGTTAGTATTAAGGACACTAAAGTAGAACATCCAATAGCCAATGTTATGTTGCAAACTAAAACAGTCAAAACTGTCTTGTCATGTTAGGTCTTTTCTATCACTCTAGTCCAAGTCACAATTTCTGAGTGCCACTTGGACATACTGATGCCTGGTCTGCTCTGTGGTTCTCCCAGGAGCACCCAACCCAACCCTGATTTCTTTGAGAGTGATAATTTCATACAGCACACTCTCTACTGAGATATGAAAGGAGACAGTGCCATCTGAAATAGCTGCAGAAGAGATTAAGAATACAAAGAGCTTATAAACAATAATGGAAAATTCTCTCCTAGCATATATTTACTTGTATGATCCATAGCAGTGACTTCTGGAGAAATGTCATGGGCAAAATATCTCTATTTAAAAGAAAAGCAATATTTGTAATTAGGATAAATGAAATAAGGGAAAAGCCTTTGGACCATTGGAAGAATGGGGTGGTTTTAAGTTCAAACCTATAATTATTACATTTTTCTATTCTGTATTATTTAAAAAGCAGTGGTTAAACAGATAAAAATAGAGAAGATTGCTTAAAAATTAAAGCCATTGATTTAGATCTCTATTTGAAAGGTCAGTGTATGGGAGATGAGAAAGGCACTATCGGGATCAGAGTGTTCAACAAAAGACATTTTAGCAGCAGGACCTACAAAGAAGCCATCAAGTATTTATATCACCCACATCAACTTGCTGGTCATTTCACTTATCAAAGAAAATAAGAAAGGAATTTTCTTTGGACATTCTTTGGGTATAGTAACAATACAGTTTTGGAATCAGCTGTTAGAACCGGTAATTAAAGCTGGTTTATCATGCTCACTAATTATTCTATATAGTCAGTCTCCGTGAAGCTTTATATAATTCTCCATTTGTTACAAGCTTCTGTTTCTCCCTAGGACATTCTAAATCCAGACAGGTAAAGAACTGAAGTGCTTAGAAACTACTGTACAGTCGGCCCTCCGTATCTGTGAGCTCTGCATCTGCGGGATTCAACCAACCGCGGATCGTGTATGTACTGTGGTTACCATCTGCAGTTGGCTGAGCCCACGGGTGCAGAATCCGCCAATACAGAGGACCTAGTAACACACTCCAGCATCTGTGGACTTTGGTAACTACTAGGGTTCCTGGAACCAGTGCCCCCTGTGGATACTGAGGCACAACTGTATTGTAATGTCTGTACAGCCACGCAGATATCTGCAATTGAATTTGAAAAAAATATTTTAAATAACTTTCTGTACATTAGAAAGTAGAGGTTTCAGCTCTACCTCCTGGGTAAGAAGATCTCTCGAGTAGAAGGAAAAAGTGAAAAAAAGAATTTAAAAAGGATACATCAGTATTTCTTTCAGGAACCTACTTAACACTGGGAAGGGAAGGAGGTTTTTCTTCAGGAACTCCTAATAACCACCTGATATTGGTGTCAGGCTGGCCAAATATCTGCCAACATTGGTGAGCCTTCATTCTTCACTAGAGAGAAGTAGAGGAACCTAATGTTTAGAGTAGCACAAAACTCATTTCCCATTTTCTTCCCTCTGCAGATGGAATTGTTCGTGGGCTGTCTCATATTCCAGCACTTTAGTGCTGGTGATGCACATTCTCTCTGCTCCAGAATAACCATACCCCCGGAATTGAAAAGGATCCTCTCTCCTCATGCCTAACACAAACAAGGCAGGAATGAATCCATTTTCCTCCCAGGAAGTGGATTTGAGAACTTCTCAGACACTGTGAGACTAACCCACATGTAGGGTAGGCTCCTGGGGAGGGGCAGTGTAGGGCAGTGCCAATAACAGGGTTTCTGGAGGACAAGATCAGCAACCTGAGAAGCAAAGACGGGACATTTTACCCCTCCTCAACCTACTTCCCTTCATTTAACTTCATTTTCCCTTTCCCACCTAGCAGTAGTTGATACTCAACCAAGCACAGCTCAGATTCTTACCATGCAATCTAGTGGAATACCTCGAAGTCAGGGACTCCTTATCCTTGGTTACTTGTAAAATAAAGAAAGCTTTAGCTCACACTAGGCGGTGTGAACAGGATTTTCATCTTTAGAAACTAAATGGAGGCCTTTCACCTACTCTTTCCAGGTGGCTCTCTATTTCCTTTTCCACTTGTGGCCTTTACCTCTCCCAGGCTGGCCAGGACTATGCACAAAACCAGCCTCCAATAAATATCAACATTGAATTTCAGCAGGTTGCTAACTCCTGCAGAGCTATTTTAAAAGGATGTTGTATATAAATGCAAAGTTTTATGGAGCCTCAGAGATCTCTTAAGAACATCGTAAATACCCCTGGTTTAATTAGTAGTCTTGGAGTTAGGTAATGGCCTGTGGCTTCTAAGCTAGCTCTCTTGGGGTTTCTAGTCTTCAGGGGCTGCCTGCAACTATGATGTTCACATATACAATCTTCACTCTCATACACTGAATAAATCCTCTTTAGAGGATTTTCCTAAGCACCTACTCACAATTCCTGCAATACACATACAAATTGATCCCCATTCTCCCAGAACTGAAAAACGACCCAGTACCTCAGCCTACGTTTCAACCTAGATACTTTTGGACTTAAATTGTCTCCTGCAGTTCTACTTCCCAGGGGAAAGAAAAGGAAGAAATTCCTAAATTGGTGTTGATTGATGCCCAGTCTCTCCAAGCAAAAGGTGGACAACTCGCTTTGCAGCTGATCAGTGTCGAGGTAAATGCGCTCCAGTTCTCAGCATTTCCGAACCAGCTCTCATGGGACGGGTCAACCAATCCGGGCTGTAAGCAGACTTAACAGGTTTGTTCTGGGCCGCCGGCCACTGACTAGGTTCTCCGACCAGAAAAGTCACTTGGCTGAGTCTACAGTAGGTGGGGCGCGCTCACCAGCTCAGGTGTAGTGATTGCAAGTTTGTTGCAACATCGGTGTATTCAAGCAGCGGGCTGCTGTAGGAGATACCCTTTTGCCCCGCGAAGCACAGCACCAGCAAGGTTCGCCCTAAGGGGCAGGGTACTAGCGAGGGAGTTGCGCCAGACCCCCGGGCCCAGCCCTTTCTCCCACGGTTGGGAACGCGCAGTTAGCTGATCCGGAGCAAGGAGTCTCAGGTCTCGGCCCTTTAGCTTGCTCTGTGGGTAGCAGGCGAAGGGTGGGACCAGCCTGAAAACGCTGGCACGGTGGTCTGCAAGAATCAGCGGCGGCGGCCAGTGGTGCGGGGAGGTGGGGGCACGTGCTTGGATGTGGGTGCTTGTGTAACCAGGTCCCCAGGCGTCAGCCCCGACAGCGCTCCGGCGGGAGGCTCGCCCGAGCTTGTGTTGCTGCCGCGACCCAGGAGGCTCTGGGGTCCCGCTGCCCGCAGAAGGTGCACCCCGGGTGAAGAAAGCGAAGCACTTGCCTCTCGAGCTATACGGGGTAATGGGAATTTGGAAAGTTCCCCAACTAGGAACACACGTGACCGCCTCCTGAAAGTAGTTCCGACTGTGGCCCGTGTATCCCTCCACCTCCCTTTGAACCCTCCTAGGTCTCCTCGGCCCCGCCCACTCGCAGGGGCTGCAGCTTCCTACCGCCCCGGACTTCACGCTCGGGCTCAGGAACCCCGGCCTCCGGCGTGCGCGGCCCGGCTGGCGGAGCGCGGAACCTGTCCCCGGGGCGATCCACCCAGCCAGGTTTTCTCAGCGGCCCAAAAGGGGCGGGGCGAGGTTGCCTCTGAGGACCGAGCTTGAGTTCGGAGCGGTGAACCCAACTGGAGCCCCGAGGGGAGAGATGCTGGGCTCTCCTAGGGGCAGATGCAGGAAGCCGCGGGGTGCATCCCATCCTTGGGGATCGGCTTTCAGTCCACTGGGACAGTTGTCCTTTGGGACTTCGAAATTTAGGGGCGATGCGCTCGGCTAGGAGTTTTCATTTTTAGGGCAAATGAGCCGAGTTACCGGCGAAGCAGGAGGTGGGGCGGTGAAAGGGAGCCGGATGAGGTGATACACACTGGAGACACAATAGGGGGTTGTTCTTTGTGCTAAGACTGACACCTTGAGGACATGGTTGGGGGTGGGAGGAGAGGTGGGATTTCTTGGCAAAGGCTGCTGCAGTTAAATCCCTGCGAACGATTGTGGTCCGACAGCGGTGCAAAAGGAGAGTGAGGCTGCAGGCCGTGCCGGGGAAATCTGGGGGGTTGGGGGAGGGGTGTCCTCGCTGCAGGGACTGTCCCTGCGTTTCCCTGTACACTGACCAGCGCAGTGACTTGGTCCTTTCCACCTGTGCACAGGTAACCTCAGACTCGAGTCAGTGACACCGCTCAAGGCACCCGCCTCAGCTTTCACCTTCATTTCTCCCCACACTCCCCCGCAACAGCCTACCCTGCCTCCGGCTGGGTTTCCGAGCAGAGGCCGAGGCTCAGCTTGTCTTCCCCGTCCTGCATTGCTGCAGAAGCAGCCGCGGCAACTGCAGCCGCGGTACGGGCGCCTCGGAACAAGCCCCAGCGAGCCCCGGACAGTCACACTGGGCATGCTCAGTGGCGCCTGCAGGTCGGGGGCTCGGCGCTCGAACCGCAGTTATCACTTCTGCCCCCTCCCTCCTGCCCTGCCCAGCCCAGCCCAGTTCTTCCCTCCCTCGGCGCGGTCCCGCCCGCCTCGCGCCTCCCCTCGGGCTCGCTAGGCGCCTGGGCTCCCGGCGCGGCGGCGGAGGGGGCGGGCAGGCCGGCGAGCGGTGATGTGGCGGGACTCTTTGTGCACTGCGGCAGGATACGCGTTCGGGCGCCGGGACGCGGCTGCGCTCAGTTCTCTCCTCTCGGAAGCTGCAGCCATGATGGAAGTTTGAGAGTTGAGCCGCTGCGAGGCGAGGCCGGGCTCAGGCGAGGGAGATGAGAGACGGCGGCGGCCGCGGCCCAGAGCCCCTCTCAGCGCCTGTGAGCAGCCGCGGGGGCAGCGCCCTCGGGGAGCCGGCCGGCCGGCGGCGGCGGCAGCGGCGGCGTTTCTCGCCTCCTCTTCGTCTTCTCTTCTAACCGTGCAGCCTCTTCCTCGGCTTCTCCTGAAAGGGAAGGTGGAAGCCGTGGGCTCGGGCGGGAGCCGGCTGAGGCGCGGCGGCGGCACCTCCCGCTCCTGGAGCGGGGGGGAGAAGCGTCGGCGGCGGCGGCCGCGGCGGCTGCAGCTCCGGGGAGGGGGTCGGAGTCGCCTGTCACCATTTCCAGGGCTGGGAACGCCGGAGAGTTGGTCTCTCCCCTTCTACTGCCTCCAACACGGCGGCGGCGGCGGCGGCACATCCAGGGACCCGGGCCGGTTTTAAACCTCCCCTCCGCCGCCGCCGCACCCCCCCTGGCCCGGGCTCCGGAGGCCGCCGGAGGAGGCAGCCGTTCCGAGGATTATTCGTCTTCTCCCCATTCCGCTGCCGCCGCTGCCAGGCCTCTGGCTGCTGAGGAGAAGCAGGCCCAGTCGCTGCAACCATCCAGCAGCCGCCGCAGCAGCCATTACCCGGCTGCGGTCCAGAGCCAAGCGGCAGCAGAGCGAGGGGCATCAGCTACCGCCAAGTCCAGAGCCATTTCCATCCTGCAGAAGAAGCCCCGCCACCAGCAGCTTCTGCCATCTCTCTCCTCCTTTTTCTTCAGCCACAGGCTCCCAGACATGACAGCCATCATTAAAGAGATCGTTAGCAGAAACAAAAGGAGATATCAAGAGGATGGATTCGACTTAGACTTGACCTGTATCCATTTCTGCGGCTGCTCCTCTTTGCCTTTCTGTCACTCTCTCTTAGATCGTGGGAGTAGACGGATGCGAAAAATTTCCGTAGTTTGGGTGACTATAACGTTAACCCTGGTCGAGTTTCTAGATCGGATATATTTTGTGTCTCCTTTGAATGCATTCAACCTAGGGTGTGTTCGGCTAGATGGGACTCTTGGCTGGTTGCAAGTGTCAAGGCACCGATTGGTTTCTTAATCTATGGGGTCTCTTCCTAAGGGCCATTGTCCGTTAATACGGAATACAGTGCACTGGTAGTGGATTAGTGAGCTCGGTAATCCGGTCTACTAAATGAACAGAAAAGTAGATGCTTTGAGGTTGAGCATATTTCGATTAAATCTTGGCTTTAGGCCCTAGATCAAGGGTATAGATCAGATTAAAATGAAAATTAGTGTTGCACGTACGCATGTTGCATCAGAATCTTGCAGTGATTTTTTTTTTTTTTTAGTTTCCTGGGTTGCATTGATAGATTCTTTTAAAATGTGAGTTGTGGACTGATTTGCATAACTTTATGAAGCGGAATCATTTTCAGCCTATGCGGTGCTCATTTGAGGGCAAAAGTAGATTTGTGTGTTTAAACTAAGTTAATTACAACTTTGAACGGCATTTAGAAGTTTTGTAGTTTGATATCAATAGTGCCATGGTATAACTCATAAGACACTTTTATTAGATCTTTGTTAAATTTGGTTTTTTCTCTCCTTATGGGGTGATGTAGGATAGGGCATGAAATTTGCAGTTCAGTAGTATTTTATATTCAGTGCTCTTGTCATAGGTAATAGAATGGAGATTGAGTGGTTTTTTGATCCCAGAAGATAATGTTGTGTAGGGTCAAGGGTATTGTGTGTAGCAAATGGTGATTGCAGAGATTAAACTTGGGTTCTCACTTGAAATTTAAGTACTGCTGTGATGCCAGAATTGCTACTCACCTTATTTAGGTTTCAAGTCCTCTGACACCTTTGGGTATCTGTTAATTTTACTCTGACTTGACTAGAATGTCAAGTATAACTTAACCAGCTAATAACCAGAAATGCTGGCAAGAGTGGATTACTCCAGCTTCAGATTCTAGACATGTTAGCTTTTTTAATACAGTGTATTAAATTTACTGAGTCAGCTTGTTGAATAAGACAGAAACCCAAGAATTTTAACGGTGTATAGTTTTCGTTGTCTAAAAGTTAGGCCTTTGTACTTCAAAAGGTAGTGGTTATCAAAGGCATTAACTTTGCAGTTTCAGGTATAATAAACTGGTTTTGATCAAGGAAGAGGATAGAGCCCTCCTTTTTTGCAGAATGGAAAGTATCACAGAAATTGAGATTACTGGTAGGCCAGTGTATAAGATATGGAAAACAGAATTAAGTTATCGGTCTGAGGTGACTGAAGCATTTTATTAAGGTCTCTATTAAGACCGAAAATTTGGTGATATGAATTGTAGCAGTGGACAGTATTTAGTTAAATTATGTAATTTTGTAAGTGTTAATGGAGTGTTTTTAATAAAAATGATCTCTTAGCAAATATCAGTAAACATTTTGCTTACAGGTAGAGTGACACTAAAGTGTCTAGATGTCCTGCTAAAAACTGTGGAGAAGATTTTTTCTTTTGAAGAAAATGGTTTATATCTGAAGAGGTTTTATTCCTTTGGATTATGCAGCTGCATATAAATGTGCACAGCTAATTTTGCCCAAGTTTTTGTTTTGAGATGAAGAGAAGAGTTACTGAAGAAATAGCTTTACAGTGCACGAAACTTAATAGTTTTCTGTTAAGTTAAAAAATAATATTTTAAAAGAATATTTGGAGATTTTGGAGTCTGCATTAATTGAAAAACTTTACTAAGGCTGAACTTGACCTGATTGCCCAGAAGATAATTAATTATGGAAAAACTCTTCTGATTTGCAACTTATTTCAAAAGTAGCAGTCTACTATTGGTGTGATTTAGTGACAGTCATCTAGATATAGAGGAACAAATTAATTAAATGTTTATTTGACTTTTTTTTGAAAGCCCCCATTGAAAAAAATTTCTTGAGTTCTATTTGGTAGACAGGTTGCTTTTAGTATTCAAATTACGTTTATGCTATTTTTACTTTACCCATTTGTTTTAAAATTATCAGAGTTTTAAGACTAAAATTACTCTCCCAGGTTCTTACATGTGACCAGTGTGGTGATTGTTAATTTCTGCTTTGATTTCAGAGTATATGTGCCTCCATACGTGAAATTTATGTGACTTAAAACTTTCTCTACAACTGTACTTTTAGTTATGGTATGCATAGAAAGCAGTATCAAATATTGCATCAAATGACTAATAACACTTAATTTCTAGAGTTGTGGTTTTATTGAGCCAAATGTTAATATGAAAAAAATCACTTAGGAAAAAGTCAGTGGAGGCCTTGCTTTTTTGATAGTTGCACTTCCAATAATTTTGATATGCCACAGCACTTTGATTTGCTTGGTTTCACTTTAGTGTTTTGTGTTTATTGTCAGGGGAAAAATTAAAATGGCCATTGAAGACTGTCTCTGGCAGGTTGTAGTATCTGTTTCAGCAGCCAGCCTGTTAAAAGTTAAATTCTTTTATGAAAGTAGAGATTGAAGTATTTTTATCTGATGAAGAAAGACTAACAATGAAGTGATTTCTCTGAGGAAAATTGAGGACTATAGTTCAGTTTTAAAATATTTTTGCAACTCTAAAAATAATTTGTTCGTAGGGTTTTATTGTTAATGTTAGTCTGGAAAGTAGTGCTGAATATGAGACTATAAAAATTTAGTGTTTTTAGATTTTGTGGAAACTTTAGACTTCTGTTGTGTTTTTCTTGTTTGTTTGCATCTTTTCAAATATTAACCTTCATAGGGAATATTTTTAACTTGTAGAGTACAATGACTATTAAAGTTAGCTGTGTTATCTTAAGATTAGTGATTACTGAAATGACCATATTGTGAGCTTTTTAAAAAACAATTTTATTCGCAATTTTTATTTTATGCTGTTTTGTATCTGCTAAGTTGTATATCTTTCCTGAACAACATGACTGGGCTACCTAATTGCTATATGATAATTTACAAACTTCCTTTTCCTAAAGCTTATTCAAAAATAAAGCGTATCTGAAAGGAGAGTAATTTACAGTTTATATGACTCAGTATAAGGAAAAAGGAATCTTATTGCTGTCCATTGCAAAAGTTTGCACAGTAGCACAGTCATCAGTGTAGATTTACATTGCTTATAATATACTAAATAAATACTAAATGAATAACATCATAAAATTTGGTGAGATATAATCACTTTAATTTCAAATTTAGTTTTAGAAAAACAGGAGAGAAAGATGCATTTGTAGGTATTACCTTTTAGAATTTTAACAACATGAGAAAGCTGGTGATATTTTAATTTTTGTGTGGAACAGTCTATCTGCTTTTTCCTAATAACCACATAAAATATGCAAAGCTCCAACTGTTACAGAATCCCTTACTTTTTGGAAGTAATTCTTATTTTCTTTCAATTCTTATTTTCAAATTTGCCCCATTTGCTATTTGTTTATTTGGCGATAGCTTAATACTTTTTAATAACTTTTAAGCTACTTAAGAAGTAATCACTTCATTGGCTTTTAATGGAGGAGTATTTATTATGGGAAAATCAATTCACAAAGTTTCAA